TATCATTATTTATGACTGATTCTGTTGGTTTGAAACATAATTTGTACGAGCAAAAGAACCACTCACATCGCTTCCCAAAGAGGTCAACCATTTGCTAGAAAAGGTCAACCGCGTCGTTGAACCTCACAAAACTGAAACGGCGTATTAGGTCGACCTAATCCTATATAAGGTCGACCTAAAAGTGCAGGTTAGGTCAACCTAATCCTATATAAGGTCGACCTAAAAGTGAAAGTTACGGTGACATGCATGTCACCGTAGCAAAGTCCTAAATATTTTAGTTAACAATAATGGAATTTTGATTAATAGTAAAGGAATAATTAAATATTGTTCATATAACTTAGTTATAAACATTGAAAATAAAGGAGCTTTAGTTAATAATATATATAATAACCGATCTATGAAATGTTCGTATAATGTTAAGTTGAATGTAGAGAATAAAACTTATCGATAATTTCATATGAGTTTTATACTTATCGTAGAATAGATTGTAGGGAATAAAACTCATATGAATAGTATGCTGAAAAGGAGAAAAATTGGATTGTGGTAAAATTGGGTATATGGGATAAAATCACATTGTGAATAGAATAATTAAATCTTGTTCATATTATTTAGTAATTAACATTGAAAATAAAGGATATTTAGTTCATGATTATATATTTAATAACCTATCTACGAAATGTTTGTTTGTATAATGTTAAGTTGAATGTAAAGAAAAAACTTATCGTAGAATTTCATATGAGTTCTATCTACAAAATATTTGTTTGTATAATGTTAAGTTGAATGTAAAGAAAAAATTATCGTAGAATTTCATATGAGTTTTAGACTTGTCGTACAATTGATCAACCATAAAGTAGGTGTATGTGTAAGTTCTATTGGTTACAATTCGTTCCCCCTCTATATTTAATAACCGATATACGGAATGTTTGTATAAAGTTAAGTTGAATGTAGAGAAATTTTTTTCCATAGAATTTCATATGAGTTTTAGACTTGCCGTAGAATTGATCAACCATTTAAAGTAGGCATGTATGTGTAAGCTAAGTTCTATTGGTTACAATTGGTTTCCCTCTCTTCTAAATTAAGCAAAGAATAAGGGAAAATAATGTATGTGCCTCTGCTTGCATAGAATCAATGAAAAAAAGAGGTCTGGTTATAAAATTAACACCCTTTTACTTTTACACGATATAATCAAGTGAGAAAAAATAGGAATTATGATAAAATTGTGTATATTGAATAATACCCTGTTGTGAACAGTACCGTGGAGAAAAAGTAGCCTATTTTTTTCTTGGTGAACAGTGAAAAATGCTTGAGTTTTTAATTATATAATAATAGTAGTAATAATAATAATAAGGGTTAATATTTTTGTATGACCTGAATTTTGACCAAAATAAACATCCTGACCAATCTTTTCGATCTATAACATCCTGGCCCGAACTATACACCAAAATAAACAATTTGGCCAGATCCGACTTTTGACCGTTAACTTGGACGGTCAAATGCGTTGACTGTTAGTCAACGCGCCATGTCACTGCCAAGTCAGGAAAAAATATTTAAAATAATTCACAATTTCCACACATTCCCTAATTTTAAAATATTATAAATTAAAAAATCATCTAATACCTTAGTTAAACAAAAAATAAAAACGAAAAAATTAAATATTTATCAGATCTTCTGACTTGGCAGGGACATGGCGCGTCAAACATCGGGTTTGGCCAAATTGTTTATTTTGGTGTATAGTTCGGGGCAAGATGTTATAGATCGAAAAGATTGGCCAGGATGTTTATTTTGGTCAAAGTTCAGGTCATTCGAAAATATTAACCCTAATAATAATTGGGGCATCTTGCCTTGCTATAAATTTAAGTTAGGAAACTTCAACTTGGATATAGTACATAATGATATATTTATAGGAACAGGCAACTACATGGATCATTTAGACGAGAGCTTTCCATGAGAAAATTTGTCACAAATTTTTATTTGTCGGATTTTGGTTAAATAAGTTGTTTTCGAAAACAAGTGATTTTAATTTTTCTCTTCCTTCCTAAAGATATTCGTATTAACGAGAAGAATGAGATATACTAGAGTCACATGGTTCTCCCTTCACGGCCCTTCCTAGAGGTAGTCTTAGTTATACCCAAAAAGTTTCCAGTGCATCCAGTTCTCCGTCATGGCCATTCCTAGAGGTAGCTCAACCAATCCGCTTTATGTAAAGCCCAGTGAGGCCATTGCTAAGATGGTAGGGAGGGAGTAGCAAGTAGCAACTACAGATTTTGGAGCACAATCATTCGAATAACTGTGCAAAGTAATAACAACCTCGACTTCATCACTGGCACAATCATCCACCAAATCCCATCGTAGGTAATATGTCTGGGAGAAACGCTAAGATGCTTTCTTCAGCAGCAATATGGACAAGCAGAGTGGTTGAGATTGAACACCACTACCCCAAAGTAATTAAGACCTTCTGGGAAAAAGACATGCAATTTTATCTCTTACCTGCTTTTGCATGTGGCGGAGACTGGAGCTGGGGCAGGTGCCCATTACTGAGAGCGTCGGCCTTCACAAAGAAAATGAGCATTTATCTCAATGGATCTATTGGTTGTATGATGTCCCACCGGAAAAACTAAAACTGGTGATTATTTATGTATATAGCGGAAGAAACTCCGTAGCTCGGGACTGGCAAGTCCTCATTACTCATATTTACAGGGAAGCCAACGTTGTTGCAGACTACCACCTCGCTAATCTGGGTCACTCTCTTCTTATTGGTTTACAAACGTTGCAGACTACCACCTCGCTAATCTGGGTCACTCTCTTCTTATTGGTTTACATAATTACTCATATTTACAGGGAAGCGAACGTTGTTGCAGACTACCTCGTTAATCTGGGTCACTCTCTTCTTATTGGTTTGCATAATATTGTGAATCTGGATAGTGTTTTGGCTTACTGGTTGTACCATGGCCAGCCTGTTACGGGACACCTTAATCAGGTGTCAAAACTCTGGAAACCAGGAATGGCAATGGGCAGGTCCGGGGCGGGTCCAGGTCGGGTAATTGATCACGGGTCGCGGGTTGTGGCAGGTCGACCCAATGGGTATGCAATTTATATGAAAAACATTAGAAATATTCGTTATTTTTATTATAAGACTAAGAAAACAAACAATATTATGACAATTGTAGTTAAATTATTGGAGAAATTGAGGTTTTCACTAATTTACAATTTTATTATGGCTAAAATATGATGCAATTAAAGGAAAATTCAAATTAATTTGACTAAGATTACATGTAATTTAGACAAGAACGGGTCGAGAATGGGGCGGGTCAGGGCAGATCGGGTCGATGAGACTACCCATACCCGCCCCGCCCCGCCTACGGGGCGGGTCGAACCCGGCCCAAAACAGGTCAAACAGGTCGGGTAAAACGGGTCAGGTCAAAATTGCCATCCCTACTAGAAACCACTATGACTCAACTGGATTGAAGTTCTCCATCGAACAATGAGTTTCATTGCTGTAGTAAGTAGTAGCTAGTAACTAGCAACAGCACCTAGTTTTAAGTAAAGCTACGCTGCTAAACCAATGACAATGCAGATGGAGCACACGGAAAAATCATAAGCTAAGCAGCAGATGGATGTGAAGTAACGTAGCAGATGAGAGTCGACCAAAAATCCAAACAAAAAATGCTCCACTTGCGCTAACCAGAAGTAGCAGAAGATGATATCCACGATACCTGTCGATGGATGGTTGAGAAATATAAGGGACACTTAAATATGAGGATTAAAAGAGATGCAGAATTCATGCAGATTGTAACCAAGCAAATGAACACTAGTAGAAGTCCTCAACTTCATATCAGACTTGAAGATATGTCAACTGTATTGATAAGCATACTTCACTAGCAATAGAGAATTCAGATGCGGGAGATACAACTTACAGTCAAGTGCATCATAATTAAGAATACATTTTTAAGTTTTTGGGGGTTACAATAGAGAATTCAGATGCAACGGTGATAGAACTTGCAGAGCGGTGCATCATGAATAAGAATACATTTGAATGTTTTTTGGGGTTACTTGAGATCAGTAGAGACCTACGGCTTCAATACCGCATAGGAACCACATATGCATGCTTTGCTGTCATGCTCAAAGGAGTTGATCAGTGATACAAACAGTGATCACCTTCGAAATTGCAGAGAAAGAAGGTTCATATACAGAAACAAAAACAGGAGTGCATCCTAAATGAGAAAGGAACTATAAAGCGAGGCAGAAATGAGTACATTCTCAGGCATGTTCTGCCCATAAGCACTTAGCTATAGAAGATATGTTACTAGCTTGACATCAAGATCAAATGACAAGGATGTTCGATGCAACTATTGCACGCATTGTAACTTGCCAACTCTGCTGTATAATAGCTCCTAAAAAAAGAAAAAGAGCTTAATCACAAGTAATCTATTAATCTAAATATTAGCTTACTAATATTGTACCTATGATCTTAGTGCGATTGGTATCCTGTACATGTAAAAAAAGCACAACAGGAATCAGAACCAGAGGAAAGGCAGCTTACTAGTATCGTACCTATGATCTTAGTGAGATTCTAACTATTCACAAGGAAACACCACTGGAAATGGTGACTAAACCTATCTTCTATAACTATAAGAGCTTACCCATCACTACATTTTCTTTCCCCCTAATCCACCACAAAGTCTCAGCTGAAAACAAAATTGTTTCACACAAAGCTCTGATACCAATCCAGCGATGAAATGGGTGATCACAGCCCCAGAATCGACACCATACAGAGATAAATCAAGAAAACACAGCAAACTGATCGGGGAATGCCCCCAATCATACTGCACGCAATAGAAACCCAAAACCCTAGACAGCACCTTGCAGAAGTTATTTCTCATATAATCAGGCATAATTTAGCACGGATAGATCTCAATCTTGAACACAAAGACGAGCATTACAGTAAACCCTAGAACAAAGTAGAACACATACCACGTGAAGTTAAAAGTTCCTAACAAAGTTCAAGCGGCAGCCTGATCAGAAGCCGGAGGAGCTTCTTCGGCAGCTGAATCAGCGGGAAGCGCCACATCAACAGGAGAAGTCGTCGCCGGAGCAACGTTATTCGAGGCGGTATCCGACCTGGCCCGAGCCTTGACGGTTTCCAGCATCCGCTTGCTGATCTCCTTGGAATACTGCTGGAGGATTTCGAGCCCGTCGTCCTCGGGGGAAGTAGTGGAGCTGCTGGAGGCGGCGAAGGCTTCCTCCTCGATGCGGCGAGCAGCTTCGGCGGCCTCGTTGGTCGTAATCGTTCCGTAGCGCTTGGAGAGGACGGAAGGAGTGGACAGGGTCTCGATTAGGCGAGAAATGACGGCGTCGCGGGTGCGCTGCGAAGGGGGCCAAATGCTGAGAATACCGCTTCTGGCTGCTGGACCTGGTGATGATGCCGGCGGCAGCATCAACTTGTCTTCCGCTTGCTTCGGCAGCGGGGCGGAGATGGGATCTACGGCCGCGGGAGCGGCGGCGGTTCCGTCGGAATCGGTCATTTTTTCCGGAGAGCGAACTGATCAATTGAATCGGTGGGGTTTTTGGTCTTTGGAGCGTAGAGAGAGACTGAAAGGCGAAAGCTGAAATAGGAAAGGAAAAAGCGGTTTGTGGGTGTGGGATTGCGTGGGGTCGCATTCTTGTGTAGGTATTATTACGACGACGGTTCACCTTAGATCCGACTCCGACTGCCCAAAACGTCGTCGTAGATTCTCCTTTCCTTTTAGATACTCATTTTTAGTATTTAAAAAAGTATTAACATGTGACAATTGACACCTATAATTAGGGGTTGCATTTGGCCGGATTGAATTGCAAATTTTTTTTTTTAAATATTTAACGTTCTTCTTATTACATCTAGAAAAGATGTTTCATGTATTGAGTAAGATATTTAGTAGCATGAGATGAATATAATATTGATAATTGCGAAATGTCATTTCAATTGTCACCTCAAATTTATCTGTAAATAAACCCATGGGTACTAATCGTGACTTCAAATTCAATCATGCTTTTCTTTAACAACAACCAGATGTGGACTCTGGTAAACTGGTAACTCAAAAATGAAAAACCAAGATGAGAGAAAACGGAAAAGGTGAATGCAAAAGGAAGAACGGAGTCGCTCGCGGATGGTGTGGGCCGGAAGACTGAACTCTGAAGAGTTAAGCAGCATGAGGTGGGCCTGGGTTGCAAGGCCCATAACAGTTACAAATGAAGGTCCCGGTGGCACAAACTCCAGAACAAGTTTCCGGTTTGAGCCCGAACTTCTTGCAGTCTTTCTTGCATTTCGCGTCGCAGTTCGAAGGCCCACAGTTCTGCACCACAAAATTCTCCGTCAAGCAAATCGAAACCGGCGGTGGTGCCGGTGTGCCTCTCACTCCGGCCGCCGTCGTTGCGACCACTGCCACATCAAGAAGCATCATCAGACTCTTGGGCCAGGTCACTAGCCCATATGTTTCGGCCCAATTATATAAATACCACAGAATCAACCGAACAATATAGAAATGTAAAAGGGAAAGGGAAAAGTTTACCGTTGATGAGGACGAGAGAAGCCACCAACACCATAGCCATGGCCATTACGCTGCGTGATCCTGCCATGGTGAATAACGAGATAGGAAGAACAGAGTGTATGAGTTGTAGTTGGTTGAGATATGACATCTAACAATACTAAAGCAGAATATATAGCTGTATTTTTCTACGATGAACAAAGGAAACGTAAATGGAGGTGCGTTGCATGAAAACGAAAATGGGAATGTGTTTGATTAATATGTCTAACAAAGAAACCAACGCAGTGGATGCAATGAATCATAATAAAAAAGGAACTTGTTTGATGTATTGAGCAAAATTCAAAGGATCAAGTTAATGACGAACCTCATCTTATGTTTTGTAACTTTGTATTTCATTAATTTTCTTGGTAAATAATTAATTCTTTCTTTTAGTTAGGTGAATGATTTAAATTTTAAAGTTAAAAATTATTTCTTACTTGCAACTTGAATTTTTATATATATCAACCATAAAAGTTTTCATATACATTGCAACAATTTTTTTTGGTGGAATAATGATAATATGAGAATGATAATACCCCCCAGCCACCACACATTCAAATTCAAATAATCTTAGTAGTAAGAAATCGTTGTACACTAAATTGTTCTTATACATGTCGTCTACACTCTACATTACCTTTACCCTTATCACACCCTAAACACGGAAATAGGATGCATAAAAACAACGCATTTTGCTCATCGCTACTATTTTTGTCATAGTTGTTTCTATATTTTTCGGTACGTGATGAAAGAAGCTAAGGAAATAAATCAAGGAAATTAAACTATGTATCATATTTTAATTCTCTTAAAAAAGCTACCAATTCTCCAACAAAAACACGAGATTTGTTCAAATACTCATTATCTCAGGCATAAAGTAGTATATGAGTGGTTGTAAAAAAACGTGAAATCAAATTGCGCTCTTTTGATAGACTATGCTTCATCAAGAGACACTCACTATATGAGCAAAAATTTTATGAATAAATGCTCTTCCAAAGCTCTATCTCTAGAAGTATTAATGTTTCTCTCCCAAATGTATATACACGACATCTATAAGAATAATGACATGATTAAAAAAAAGCGAAGAACAAACTGAAAATACAATAACAATTTACATGATATTATCGTTCGTGAGGACGAGACTAATTCACGGAAGACTACTCAAGTAGTCTTCAATTCTCTTATTAGGTTTTTTAACTTAATTACTCACACACATACATGCAGCCAAACTCGGTATAACCCTCACTTCAATTCTCTTATTAAGAACTAGATTAAGACCCGGCCCGTTGGCCGTATAAATTTATCGATAATATAAAAATTTATAGAAATTATCCAAAGAAAAATTTGTTTGATTATTTGCATACATAAAAGAGTCTAAATATTTGATTGTTGGAAAAATAAAAAAGAGAATGTATCATAAATTTTTATGAGATGCAAATCGATTCAAATAATGCAATTATCGAAAGTTAAAAAAATATGATGTAAGGAAACCCACTCCTAACGTTTTCAAAAGAAATAACATGTCGATTAGAAATGGATGCAAATTTTATTTTGGACTTCACGATTGCTTTGTCATTAGCATTATCATCGCCACCAATAACAACACATTCTTCTCCATTAATGACACATCTTTCCACTATTATCAATATCTTCATTGTTCTCTTACATTTGAATTTTGAACATTCTCTTCCTTATTCTCTTAAATTTCATTGAAAGAAAAATTTAATGCTAAATTTTTTACAAATATGAAATATAATTTTACTCGAGTAGATACTACCTCTTTAAAGACACTTATAAGCAAGAACTTAGTGGTAATATATTTACAAATGCAAAACACCATTTTGTCTCAACTTGAAAAAAACATCTTCCTAAAGAAAATTCCAAACTATTTTAGTTCATACTATATATTTTTTTGGTAAAAAAAGGACGCTAGGGGCGCCCTAATCCATATAATTCACTATTCTGGCCTCTTGGATTCCGATAACATCATGGTTTAACCAAAAGTACAAAAATGGCTCCGTACGATCGTAATGGGAGCTTCCTACAGGGATCGAGTGTCCCTTATTAGCAAGAAAATCAGCTACATGGTTCTGCTCTCTGTAGACGTATCTTGACCTCACCGAACGTGTCCATCAGGTTCTGAAACTGACGGATAATAGGGCCATGTCTGTGCCCATTGTCAATCCGATTCTGTAATACTTGCACTGGCGCCAGGGAGTCCATTTGAACCACAACTCTGGTGGCTTCCAAACGTCGTGCTAGCACCAGAACCTCAAGCGCTCCCCTGAGTTCGGCCACCATAATCGTGCATTGGCCATAATTTGACATGAAGGTCCCCAGGTTTCTTCCACTCTTGTCTCTCGCAATTCCCCCTACTGCCGCCATCGACCCTGGGTTGTGTACTGACCCGTCTGTGTTGATGGTGATCCATCCATCCGCTGCCGGTTGCCATTTCATCATCACTTCCCTCCTCGTCGTCGGTTGTCGAAGGCCGATCCGCTCGTCACTCTGCAGCGGCCTCTCCACTGCCTCGGTCTAGTAGCGCACACGAGCCACCAAAGCTGGCTGATCTGTTTGTTTCCCTGCAAAAACAAAGTCATTACGACACTTCCATATAACCCAACATCCCAGACCAAACACAAGAGAGTAGTTGTTGTCCTTTAGGTACTCCTCCATCCAATCTTGTTGTGGCAGCGAGAAGAATCTCTGCTGCTTCTCCCTAGGAATCAGCTCCTTCCACGTTGCAGCCGCCATAGCACAATCCCTTAGCACATGTAGCACGTCCTCACCATTCGACGAACATTTAATACATTAGCTATTGGTAGCAAGCTTTCGCCTCTTGCGCTCCTCTTTCGTCATGATCTTACTCTGATACGCAAGCCAGAGAAAATGCCGAACACGACTAGGGCCATCCCATTTCCATATCACTTTCCAGCAGCGTTGCTCCTCCTCCTCTTCAAACCCAGCAGCAAGCGCATAAGCTGACTTGAGACGGAAGCGGCCATCTTCCTCCAACGCCCAGATAGTGCGATCGTCTCCACTCTCCCTACACGGTGGAGTAATACCAGGAATTTGTGTCCACATTTCGTGGGTTATCATGTGCTCAAACTTGCTTCAGTCCCACCCGCCATTCTCATCAACCATATCAGCCACAGGGATACTCTCGTCCAGATGATCTTTTTCTTCAGGGAGCAGGTCCTTAAGAGCTATGCCACTATCCAACCATTTATCTCCCCAAAAGCTTATATCCTGACCACTCCTTATGCTCCAGGCTGTTCCCTGCATCAATAGCGGCCAAACTTCTTGCATAGCGCGCCATAATGGAGATCTCCTCTTCCCTTTACTATATATTAAATGCATAGATGAATGGTTCTCTAATTAATCGCTTAAACTTTTAAATTTGATTTGAACGGGGTGGGAAATAACTGTTTGCTTTGTGTATGAGCTAACAAAACAAATTTTTGTATTTTTGGTTGGGGTATGCCTATGATGATTTGGTCAAACTCCAAGTAAAATATATTCGCAATCTGACGGAAACTTTGATCAATCAACATTATGTGATATGATTTGTGTTGCTTATAAGTTATAACTATCGATCGCGTTCCTCTTTAGGTCGGCCGTTTTAAAGAAACATTCCTATAAGAGTATCAAATGCTCGACCTTGTGATTGTTCAAGTCGATAAACATAACGTGAAGGTTGACATGTATAACTTAGATGTTGCCTTTTTTGTTAACCAACGGAATATATATACTTAATATACTCCATATAAGTTTCACCTAGAGTTTAGAGTGACTATAGATTAGAAAATTTCCTTTTAATTAGCATAATAATTTTCTTCTTGTCACCAATAAGTAATAAATACATAAAAGTAAAATGATATAACTTAAAAGTTAAAACTAAAAATAGAAAGAGGATTCTACAAAAACAAAAAGTAGCCCAACCTCGGTTGGCTTCCCTTCCGACCTCGGTGGAAAAAATGAAAGAGATTATAGAAGTATAAAAGTGCAAAGACGTTTACAGCCTTCCGTCAGATACGTTGAGAGCTTCAATTTATGCTTTGACCCACTCCTCATGCGGAATCTCCTTATATGAATGGGTAGATTTAGGGTTATTGGTCGATCGACCTACACTGCTTCTGCTTGGACAATTACCATATGCCACATGAACTTTATTGATCCGAACAACATAGAGTACTGACACCGTACTCAACATACAAATGTTCCTACAAAATCCATGACACTTTACACCTTTCCAAGTAACAATATAAGACGTAACATCTTCAATGTCAATGTAAGGCATATATGGAAGGGTAAAGGTTTTGTGCTAAGTACTAATCCACATATTTACACCTTCAAACCTTTCTTTTACAGATTGTCCAAAGAGTTTGAAATCTAACTGTTTTGGTACGACCTTAGGTATAGGTTTACTTCTTTCTGTTTTTTTTTAACATAATTCGAGATTCGGGTTGGAGCAACATGTCAAATCGTATTTAACCATGGTTGAACTACGATTGTACCGTACTGGCGGTCCAATCGAAAAAAATCCTAATAGAATCTATATCGGTAGGTGATTTAACGGTAGGAAATTATTTAACCACGGCTAAACTACAATTTTACCACAAAATGCCCTAATGCTAAGTCTTTCTATACGACTGTCGGTATGGTTTCACAATTTTTAATTTTTTTGAAGATTCATTGAGGATTGGGTTGGAGCAAAGTTTCAAGCATGATTTAACCAATATTGAATTATGATTTTAGCACAAAATACCCTAATGTTAACTATGAGTAGTGTCCGAGGTTGTGAATCCGGTTTGGCCCGTTGACTCGGTCGAGTTAGTGGGTCGAGAATTAATAAGTATTTGTGAAACCATACGGTTAGGGGCGGAGCTAACACAGGAGGAGGTGGTGCCAATGGACACCCTTGCTTTGGGCTCAACAAAAGAAAATAGATGTACGTTGGAGAGAGCCTATTAAAATTGCACCCGTACCTGTGTACTTGGACGTTTATGAGTTGGGAAAAAATAATAAAACAAATACTTTTATCCAAAAAGTATCGAAAGGATAACAAACCAATCTAGTAATCAAATTCCCTTCCAGGTT